CCGGCGGTCGCCCTCACCGTCGCCCCGCGGCTGCCGAGAGCCCGTGGATGGTGGGGAAGGGCGCTGCACAGCACCGTTGAGAGTCAAGTTGCGAAAGTCCCTGAGCAGCACTTGGGAGCTCTCTGCAGGAAGAGTGGGAGACGCACGGGTGACCCGGTGTGGCTTTTAGGGTTCACTAGCCAGGCCCACTGAGAGCCTCGCCGACCTGCACCCAGGCCTGGACCCCACAGCCCGGGCCGGGAATGCAAGTGGCTGTCAGTCTCTCCTTCGTGGTGTTAGCATTCATTCATTCATCCATTCACTATTTTAATACAGGATCTCGCTATGTAGTCCGGGCTGGCTTTGAACTCACAGAGATCCTCCTGCTTCAGCTTCCCCAGTGCTGGGAGTACAGGCCTGAGGCACCTTGCCCGGTGTTCACTATTTGAAACCCAGCATTGTGAAGCTGCATATGGTGATAACCGCCTCTAATCCTGGGCCCAGGCAAGAGCAGCTCAGATTTGAACCTAGTCTGGGCAATTTCGCCAGACCCTCTCTCAAAATAAAAAAGGGCCAGTAATGTAGCTTCGTGCAAAAGCCCTGGGTTCAGTCTCCAAAAAGGAGAAAACAGAACGAAACAAAACAGTATTTGGGAAGCCAGGCGTGGTGGCACACACCTGTAATCCCAGCACTCAGGAGGCTGAGGCAGGAGGATCTCTGTGAGTTGAGACCAGCCTGGGCTACATAGTGAGCTCCAGGTCAGTCTCACTACATAATGAGACCTGTCTCAAAAAACCAACAACAAAAAACAAAAACAAAACAGTATTTGGGGAAGCCACGCCCTCCTTCCCTATTTCTGAGACCTGGGGTGCAAAGGGGAGCAAGACCCCCCTGGATCGGTTGTGGGTGAGGCAACACAAACTCTCAAGACTCAGAGCTAGGATGGCAGCCACGACTGTAACCAGACACTCCAGGAGGCTGAGGCAGGAGAATCACCTCGTGTTTAAGGCAGGTCTGCAGCCGGCAGAGGCGGTCAGATTCACTTCTAACCCCGCAGTGGGTCGTTTGGGGTTTTGACCCTGGACATTTACCGCTGCTCACACCACCAACCTGCCTGTTGGGTAACTGGGTTTCTAACGCAAGAATGAGTTCCGCAGACCGCAGGGATTGGGGACCTACTACAGCAGCCCGAGCCGGAAGCGGTGGTGCGGGCCTGTAACCCTAGCACTCTGGGAGGCTGAAGCAGGAAGATCGAAAGTTTCAGCCCAGCTTGGGCATTCGCGAATTAAGGAGACATTATGTCTACAAACAAAACAAAAACAAAACAAAGCCTGAAAACCAGCACCCCATGGCCAAGCACATGCTACAGATTTACATTACACAGCCCTGTCCACAGCTTCTCCCAAATCCTCCACTTTCGACTGCCCCAGAAAAGCCTTTTTTTCTTTTCAACACTCTGTCTGGAAGGGCGAAGCCACTTGCAGAGAAGTTAGTGCAGACTTCAGAAAAGCTTGGTTACGTGAGGTTTAGGTTTCTGGTGTCTTCGCTTCCTGAGAACTCCTCAGAGTCGGTTCCTCCAGGACCCCGGGATGCAGGGAGCCGAGGTCCAGGCCCCCCTCCCCCGCACGCTCACCTGGGTCCCGCGGCG